TGATAAAACTTGAAAAGATATTTTTTGAAAATAACCCTGCGGACATGGGATCAAAGATTTTATCGGTTACGAAATTGGAATTGGGTAAGAAAATAGTGTACATTGATACTTTTGATTAGAAGTGTTTTTTAAACTGTAAGTTAATCACTGTTTTGGAAAAGTAAAAATGCACTGTTTTCTTAACTGTTTTAAAAGGCTGTTTTGCTGTTGTTTTCGTATGTAGATAAAATGTGTAAATACTATTCGTGTTAATAAGTCTGTAGGTTAAAAGACTTGGAAACAATTGATGATTCGGACTTTGATGACACCCACTTTTAAAGCACATTCTCCATGCCAAAAAAGGTGGAGATTTGTGGAGTTTTGGGCCAATGAAAAAGAGACCCAATACAAATACAACCGATCCGCCCATTTGAAGCCCAGGTCCGTAACCCGCAACCCGACCCGAACATTTGTGTGAGACTTGCTGGCTGGATCTGTTGGATCGCTAAACCGGTCTAAACCGGTCCGGTCTGAACCGGTGTGCTTTATATATATAAAAAGCTTCCCTAAACCGGTTCATTCATTCATTCATTCGATTAGATACAGAACAGAGAGAGAACAGATCGCGATTCCTCTCTTTCAGCCCTAGGCGATTCCTTCGATGTCACCTGCGTTCTCCGGTGATTTTGTCCGACGATTTGGGAAGCTCTCCTTCTCCTTCGATGCACACCTTCTCCCTTGGTGTTTCTACGGTTTGATTTAATCGATTTGTGCCTTTATTTGTGTCTCACGATGTATATGTTGTTCGCGGTGTAATAGGTTTGAAATAATTGTGTTTCCGTTCGGGTTTGTGTGTTAGTTCCGATTCCATGGCGAGTCTTTGTGGTTTGGGTCTTGGATGTATATTTGATGTCGGTTTGTTCAATTAATGGGTAAAACTGAGTCCGAGTAGATTGCTTCCATAATAATAAAAGTTTCTTTAAGTTTTCGTTAGATTCGAGATATTTTTATGCGAATATTATTGTTGATCTTAGATTAGTAATAACAAATACAATAAGTAAAAACTACGATCACCTCCCCAATGAAAACTCAAAGTTCACAAAACGAAGAATATTAAAAACAGAGAGCACAACAATCACCTGCACTCAAAATAAATTTACGATAAAAAAAAAGAGATTTTAAGAACAGACGAAGAATGTTAAAAACAGAGAGAACAACAATCACCTGCAATTAAGGTAAGTTCACGAGAAAAGAAAGATTTTAAGAATAGAGAGCCAAAATAGCAAATAATCTCCAAATCACAAAAAACAACTTAACATGAAAGAAAAAAGGAGACTGAGATATATATACTTCCCTCCACATCCACATCCACATTCATCTCTGTCATCCTAATCATGAAGAAAGAGACATTATGAAAAAGAAGCTGCTCTTCAGAAAAGCTCTCTGCATGCCTTTCTTCCTGCCAAAAAGAAATCGCCGCCGGCACGACTCCGGCAATGATAGTGAACGGTTGAGTACCGAATATACACATTTGGCCAAACCACTCTCTGTTCCTTTTCCACATTTTTGGCAAAACGTGAATCCATTTGATTTCCGAAATTAGGCGGAGCAGCAGCAAGAGCAATTGAAAAAAAAAAAAAGAAAGAAAAAATTTGAACGAACTGAATGAAGGAGAAGAAGGGGAGACAGGGTGCGGCATGGATATGTTGTAGATCAGGGCTTTTAGCGTAACAACAACAACAACAACAACAACAATAATAATAATAATAATAATAATAATAATAATAATATAGTTATAATTATATTTAATATATATTATTAAATTCTTATACAAATAAAAAATATTAATAAAAATAAATAATTAAAAAATAAATAAATTATTAATAATATATACAGATAATAATATAATATTATTTTTTATATTTATATTTTAATTTTTTTAAATATGTTACGTAAAAGAAGAGATATCCCACATCTTACCAAATAGATATAAATAACAAAATATAAAATCTAAATCTTTTGTCAGTAATATAAAATTTAAATCTTTTGTCAGTCAGCGGAATGCCCCCAACATTTATGCCGATGGTTGTTTAACAAGAAATTCAAATGAATTTACGATTATTTCAACACAAAATTATAATATTCTCGAGAATATATATTCATATATAAGTAGATGTGTGACTGGTTTCCTACAACAACCGAAGCAGGTATACATGCCAATGAGATGAGAGTTAATTAGTAATCTCTTTCGTTAGTTTTTTTCGAGTGCTAGTTGTCTAACTAGGCCTTCAAAACCATAACTCTATTGACCGCAACTTTAACATTTCCTTTTAAAACAGTCGTATCAATATTCAATATGTCTAAGTTTTTTATGTACATGCCTAAGATCTTGATGCCGTCGATGGACTACTTGGCTTTGGAATTTTTTCCGTTGCCATTGAAAAAAGTTACTTTTGCTTTGAATTTAGATAATACAAATTCAACGTGATCAATAATATCCATAGACAAAGAGAAGAAATTAATAACCTAAAACATAATGATATAGTTTTAAAAAAAAGTAATTAACTCCAACATGCTTTCGAAATTATTAACATTTCTACCAAACTATTATGTAAAGCAAGAGATATTCTACCAAACTAATCCTTCTACCCTTGTAACGCCAAACCTACATATATAATCACTAAATTATTCATTATGTTAGGGACCAAAACCACCAAATTGTTAGGTGCCTACACGGGTCAACCCAAAAAAAATTAGAGCCGACAAAATTGAATGCCCAACAAAATTAATAAATTTATAACTAAGATACGAAAAAATACACACAATAAAAGAAGAAATAAAGTAACTCTATCCAAAAAGACAAAAACTAACAAATTTTTTGAAATCGGCATACGGCCGTGCCTCTTGAAGTGTCCGACAACATTTGTACACTTCTAATATGAAATAGACAGAAAAAAAAAATGAGGAACATTGCACAAAAATATATTTTGATTCAAGTTTCAAGTGAGATTTGAGATTTTTATCGAAAGGAAAAGGACTTGTCGATTGGAGCCTTAGAGTCTCCGACGGCGCCAACAGGGTGACGGAGCAAAAAAGCGAACAACAAAAAACAAAAAAGCGGCGGCAATAGATCGAACAACGACGTCTAGGTGGAATTGTTGGTTCGGGTTTGGGTTCAGGTTCGGGGTTTGGGTCTGGGTTGAGGTGAGTGAATGATTGGTGTAGTTGTTTTTTATTTCTTTCCAAATTTTGCCTAAATAAAAAATATAGTAAGGGGCATAACGGTCAACACTAATAAAAAAAATTAATGTTGTTAGTCTAATTTTGAATTGGAGCGAATATGTAAATATTTTCGAAACCACTTCTTAATGAGTCTTTTTATTTTTTGTGCAATTTTGTAATTTTTCCACATATAAAATGAAATAGTTAGTTTTTTATGTTTCAGTAAAAATTAATTTTTCGTCAAAAATATTAAATCAATATGTATTTATATGTCCCATTTGAAAGTATATATTTACTTTTGATGCAAAATTTAAGAAATAATAGTATTTTAATTATCGTGGGTAGTTAAAAGTAGTGTAAAACAATTTTGTCCTTACTTTTTAGTGTAAAAACAATGATGTTACAATAAAATAAAAGTATTTGTAGAAAAAAGTGAGATATCTTTAAAATGATTACTTTCTACTCGAACAACTAAAATAAAAATATTTATACTCTATGAGTGGACGGAGAGAATATTAAATAATTATTTTAATTTTAATTTTTATTATTTCAAACTTTAAAGTCAACTTCTAAATTTATAAACAAATACACCTCAGGTGTGTTTGTTTGGGGGTTTGGATTTTAAGTTGGAATTTGAATAGTAAAGATTTTGAATTTGAATAGTTGTATGATGTGATATAAATAAGTGTTGATGTGATGTTTTGAATGTAAAATTGATTTTTAGTGTAATATAAAAAAATAAAAAATAAGTATTTGATTTGATGTTTTTGGGGGGAAAAAATTGGATAAATAGTGTAAATCCAATCCAATCCCCAAACAAACACACCTCATATACTTTTTTTTTTAATACATACTTATTTATAATAGTGTAATTATAAAATTATCGGTACTTTTATATATAAGTTTATAATAAAATAAAAATAAGATGATAAATAACAAAGAAAGAAAGAAAAATAAAAGAATTAGTAGTTAGTAGTAATGTCTACGATTACTTATAAATTAAAAAATAATTAAATAATATAATAAATAATTAAAAGATAATAAGAATCTAATTTTCCTTTCGTTCTTTCTTTGGGAGCCAATAAAAAAATTCAAGAATGGCCTTCTCATTATACAAATACACATTTAGGTAATTTTGGGTGTGTTCCTTTAATGTTTTTAGATGAATGTATTACGAAGAGTCGTATTAATAATATAAAAATTAATATTTTGTATTTAATTATTGACTTTTTCGCGGATGAATAAAGTATATATATAAATTATACTTCTCCGTCCGAGTTATATATATACGTGAATTTAATATATAAGTATATTATAGATTATAATACAATGAAAAGATAAAAAATAATAATTTTATTCTTAAAGTCATTTATTTTTAGTGGTAGTATGTAATATTGTGTAAACTATAAAAATATTTATTTAATATAAAAAGTAATTTTACTAAAAAAACAGAAAAAAGTTTAGGACATATTTGAATTGGACAAACAAAAATAACTAAATAATTACATGACTTATTCATATAATTGTTACTAGAAAATAAGTTTATGTAAATAAATCATTTGTTTGTAAATTTCAAATATTTTTTGAAATTGAAAATTTAACAAATAGTTAAAAGTAATAGTACTGTAATTAAAATTCTATCCACCTTAATTACCGCCAACAAACTCCGATAAATGCATATGTATCTATCTGTATCTATTTGACCATAACCATACCCAATTTCACGTTCCCATTAAAAAAACGTACAGATTCTGTTGCACTCCGATTCATTCAATCTTCGACCTCCAGAGAAACCCTTCCCTAAATCATCACTCGATCTCCAATCCTCTTTAACCCTCCAATTCCTCCTCCGATCCGCCATTGTTGGATTTCTCAATCTCGCCGCTCTGCTAGTGTATACATATTGACTATGGAAATGCCCACGCCTTACTCGCCCAAACAATATGCACCGGAGCCGCCAATCCTCCGCCCGACGCCCGGCCACCGGAAGAAGGTTGCATGCGTCCGGCCGTGGTTGCTGGTGGACTCCGGCGGGCAGGCGCATGTCGTCGAGGCTGGGAAACATGACGTCATGCGCCGCACCGGATTACCCGCCCGCGATCTTCGAATTCTAGATCCGGTCTTATCGTACCCTTCCACTGTCCTCGGCCGCGAGCGCGCCATTGTCGTCAATTTGGAGCACGTCAAGGCCATAATCACCGCGCAGGAAGTGCTGTTTCAGAATTCTCGAGATCCTCTGGTCACGCCTTTTGTGAAGAAGCTCCAGGAAATCATTCTTCGCCAGGGTTTCAAGTCCCCTCAGGTTCCCCTAAATCGCCATTAATACGTAACATTATGCATTTTTAGAATGGTTTTCAATTTAATTTTTGGATTTGTAGTTTCTCTCTAACTGAATTTAATGCATTGGATTTGATCGAATCTCCAGCAATTGCTTGTTTAATGTGTTTTAATGTTCCTTGAGTAATTGAAATTCATGTTTCATTAGCAACATGCATTGATATAGTAATGTTCACATCATTCCAATTTGGTCTTCTCTTTCAAATTAGGAGTTTAGAGTTTAATGCATTTGCAATTCTGCATTTTGTAATCCCTTTAGAAGGAAGGAGATGGCACTAACAATGGAGCATCTTCGAATCTGTACAATTCGGATCAGCAGCAGCCATATGAAAGGTGGAGGGATACGGACACAGAGCAACAAGGTTTGCAAAATGCACGTGGTCTGAAACTTCTTCCATTCGAATTTGTTGCACTCGAGGCATGCCTCGAGGCAGCTTGCAGAAGCTTGGACAATGAAGTATGCATTCCTCTGTTTGTTTGTCTGCATTTTGTATTATGTTATCCATCGTACTTACTAATTTAATTTCTGTCTGATTACGACAAGGCGAGGAGATTAGAGCAAGAAGCGCATCCGGCACTGGATAAGCTAACTTCAAAGGTCAGCACACTCAATTTAGAACGCGTACGTCAACTCAAGAGTCGATTAGTTACCATCACTGGGCGCGTGCAAAAGGTATATAAACACTTCGCTTTAATATTATCTTCTGCACTATTTTTATCGTTGTTGTAGTTTCCTGTTACATTCCATTTTAAAGATTTTTAGCTATTCATACCGTTAACGGCACCTTTGGACAGATATTTGTTTCCATCTTTTGGAACTGATATTTTGTCCACTGCTGTTTTAGCTATGTTGTCAGTATTGTAAGCCATTCTTTATGAACTTTACCTTGAATTTAGCAGGTACGAGACGAGCTTGAGCATTTGCTCGATGATGACGAAGATATGGCAGAGATGTATTTGACTGAAAAGCTCGAGCAGCAGGGGGAGGAGCTTGAAAATTCATCTGTTTCTTCTGTAAGTGAGATCGATGACTTGCCTGGAGAAGTGGTTCCACCCGAAGAGGAGAACAGGCATGGATGAAGCTTCTTCTATCTTTTTAACAACATAACCTTTAAAACAATTACTAGAACTAGAACTAGAACTATCACGCCATTTCATTTCAGGGATTCGACTGAAATCGTAATGAAGGGTGAGGATGGTTCTATTCTTTCTCAGATCATTGGTGAACCTAATTCTATCAGAAGAGGCACTCAAAGCACTACCGCGAAGCGCCTGGATATAGTGGATCTAGAAATGATCTTGGAAGCATACTTTGTGCACATCGATGGAACTTTGAATAAACTATCCACGGTTAGCTTCATTTTATCCCAAACCTCTTTTCACTTTTTATGCATGATGAAAATCATTAGAGTGTGTTTCTTTAGTATTTGAATTTGAGTTTGAGGTTTGAGAATAATAAAAATTCGGGAAAGGTTAGGGTGTTGATTTGGAAAATTCAGTACCGTGCATCCGTAATATATATATATATATAAACAACACACAATCTTATTATACACAACACATGTTGCATAGTAAAGACATGTATTGCTGGTTTATAATTATAAGTGTGTTGTATAACAATTTGTAATGTGCTTAAATCAATTATTATTTGTGTTGTATAAGACTACAACATGTGCTTTTAATTCATGTATTGTATTTGTGTTGTTGGTTCATAATTACAATTGTGTTGTATGACAGTACGTTGTGGTGTGCTGAAATCAACTGTTTTTTGTGTTGTATAAGACTATAGCATGTGTTGTTAGTTCATGTATTGTATTTGTATTATATGAATACATACGGTGTGCCGTTTGTAGTAACACCGCTGCGATGTGCTATTAGTATGCTGCGAAATTTTAAGATTCAACACAGTAGCCGCCTAAAAATTCAAATTGAGATAGTATTTTATGTTTATATAAATAGGTAATTGATGTGACGAGACATTTTAAATGAAAATTGGCGCAAGTATATAAGTTCACTCGCTTTTATTATTATTATTATTATTATTATTACTATGGTTCTAACTATATGTGTGTTTGCGTTTGGATGAAGCTGAGGGAGTATGTGGACGATACTGAGGATTACCTGAACATAATGCTCGACGACAAGCAGAACCATCTTCTGCAAATGGGAGTGATGCTGACGACAGCGACTCTTGTGGCTAGTGCTTTTGTGGCCTTAACGGGAGTTTTTGGCATGAACATCCATATTCATCTTTTCAGCGATGATGCAAGAGACCTACCCTTACGGATGCGCCAATTCCTTTGGACTACAGTCGGAGGTACCATCGGTTGTGTTGTCATGTATATAGTTGCAATTGCTTGGTACAAACATAAAAAGCTACTCCAATAATTAATCCTTGTTATCCCACAAAAACAAAATTATAATTACATTAGAAAACACAAGGATTTGGCATTGTCCGGTTGCTTTCGGCATGTGAGGCTGTATTCCAAGGAAGTTTCTAAACAAAAATAATACACCCTTCGTCTCACATTGAAAGTCTGCGTTACAGTATACATGAGAAAAGTTAGGATAAATATAATTAATAGATAATTAAAAATGTATTAGTAAAAATAATTATTTTATAAGATAAATACCACTTGTAAGGGGTCGGATGGTTCCTCCTCGAACACCTTCCCGTTGATTCTTCGACACCCTCGAGAACTCGCTAGTACAGCCTCGCACACATCTTTGACACACGCTAAAGCAAGAACACTATAAGATGCATCGGAAAAGTAGAGTGTTTTATTAATTCTGAAGTGAGGTACAAGCGAGGACTCCTCTTCTATATATAGGCACTCTAACATGTATACGCTAGTTCAGATGTAATCAGCTGACACTCGGACTATGTGGTGAGTCGACGAACACCCGGACCAAGGATTTGTCGACTGATGCTCAAACAAGAAGGACTGGAAGGCCAGGTGATTGTTGCCTATAGTAAGGACGCAAACTAACTAGCGCCAGGAACGCCAAGATGGATGATCAGCGTCGGGACTGAGGGTTTGGTTGGCTGTCAAATGAACAAACCCGGATCCGATTGTTAGGTGGTAATTCCCGAAGATACCAAAAAAAGTGGCGGCCGTGTCTTGTATATAAGGCTGGCCTTGGTGATTTTATATTGCCAATTTATAATCTAAATTTGTTAAAAATGAATAGGGTTTGTTATAAATTAAATAACAAGATTTGGATATTTCCAAATTTATATTTATATAGATTAGGAAATGAAATATTCTATTTTAAATATGTTTTTTTTTAATTTAATTTTTTGCACTTTCGATTTACAAAGCACCGGTTAGATTCTATATAGGCATATTGTAATTGTTGTAAAAACTAGATCCAACATCTCAATACAAGTAATTTAATTTTTCCGTGTTTCTTGCTCTTGTTTCTGATTTCTTTAGTATTAAACGTCTGGATATTGTGTTTGGTAGAAACTTAGAATTTGATTACTCTAAATCCTTGCCCTTAGCTATCAAAAAGTTAGAAATTTCAACCTACGGTAATATTTTGGCATGTCCAATGGAACAAAAATTTGTAGACATGGGAAATTATCCCAAATTCATGAGATTATGATCATGAAGACTTGTATAATGTTTGATGGCTTGTTTCGAGACAAGAATATTGGCGAAAGAAACAAATGTCGTCCCCACAGTATCTTCAGGCCTTCCACCGCTACCAACACCCATCTCGGAATGATTCACTCCGACTCGGTTGGAGAGACCGACGCCATCTAAGAGCTATGAGGCATCAAACTCATTTGAGGAAATGTGTTAGCAACCATCCACTGTTTTCTAACTATGGCCCAATGGTTAGCAAGTATAAACACAATCTCAGTGACTTCCCAAGTTGAAGGTAGTGTCGGAACATATCAATTACAACCTTTGACTTTGGTCGAGTTTGGAAATCACAACCAACAATGACTGCACGCATATGTTCTTTTGATTACCGATGTCAACACCATCCAAAATTACAGTGTGCCGCAGACTATGTCTTATACTCCGGTGGCCGTGCAAAATGGCAAGCTATATTCGCAATCCACTCTTCAACAGTGGATAACTTTGCTATACATTTCTTGAGTTGCGCCTTACTTTCAACAACCTTAAGTACCAGCAGCTCAGAGACCCAATATCATTTTGGATCCACCACAATGGAATTTGTAGCCCGTACAACCTGGACAAGAATATCTGGGTGTAGTAAAAATGTTAAAAGACACCGTATGCCAACACCGTAGTGCCTAAGGCCAGGGGCCTCACGGTCTGACATACCGAAAACCTTTTGTGAAATAGATATAATGCAATTACCCACTACCTCGATAAGTTAGGATACTTGAGTCTCTCATGTTCTCGAGAGAAGATGACTAATCGTTTGTGGAACATGTGGCAAGATTTACAATTCTAATCGGGAAATTACAAGTTGATGAATTTTAGAAACTACAATTATTCACATTTACTCTGATAATAACCGCTTTCACAAGGTACTTGTTCATCCATAATGACTCCATAAAAATATGCACTCAAATGGAGCGACAATTTCATTATAAATTTTACAATCCCATATAGAATATTACACTCATAGATCTTATAGAAACGAAACAAGAATTTGGAGAATGAACTACATCCTTTATCGAAAAACTCAAACGGACTAAGCAGAGACAAACGAGCTAGACATAAGTGGCTAAAATTGAAGTAGAAGATGTGGCTGACGGATATGAACTACCGGATGTTATCGAGGGGGCAGCAATACATCTTGTACTTGAAAAACTATACCCATGCTCCAATTTCAAGCCTTCAAACGGTAAAGTGATACCCAAACTCTGAAACAAAGATTGTCGATTTGATGTTATACAGATGTACGAGTTTTTTATGAACTACTAAATGATCCCCAGATACAAATCTCTAATGGCCAAAAATTAGCTTCGCCCTAGGAAATCAAATGAAGAAAATATTGTAAGTGGTATAACTCATTTCGACATGCCACTGAAAGCCGCCTTCATTTCAAGAAAAAAAAAATCATACCAAAGTCCTTAAAGAATGGAACTATTAAACTCGTTCGGATGAAAGTGGATAATGAATCATTTCTCAAATTTTAGATCGTCATAATAACGGTACGAGCAACCTCACCAGAGGAGTTACCCCTCTGAGATGACAAAGCGCCTTGAGGGCGGTCACCATACAAATGTGATAAAGGCAAGGAGAAAGTGAAAATTTCTAATATTTCATAACTACCGCCTAACCGTTAAAATTCTTTTATGATGAATGCACGAATAACAAGCTCTCGTTCTATCAATGGCTTTGCCCGGATAATCTATCTCGGCAAGCGTCAAGAGCATTTTAACACTGACCATCACAACCATAATCATCATTGCCAGGCTACACAACCGCACGCTAAAAACCGACCATAGAGTCATGATGATCGCACACCACTCGCCCAAAGAGTTCAAGCGCCGAACTTTCACCAATCCACACATCCAAAGTCCATTATAGAATGATGATGATCAAACGCTTCTTGCCCAAATTGGTCAAGGGCAATTCCAAACTTTCACCAAACTATAGGTAAGTGTTTGCCAAGGGTAAAAATTACGAGGTTGATTACAACAAGTATGTGGAGGCCTATCAACTGCAATTATAAATTCCAAACCCACGGAGCAATCCTACTGAGAATTGGGACGTAGTAAAAAGGATAATATCCCGAACAGATTTAAAATTGCAATATCCTAAAATTTTGCCATCATGTTTACATCGATTAAAAAGGAAATATGCCATTCAAAGAAAAAAAAAACAAGGACAACTCTGTTTTCTCTTCCTTGCGACCGCCCTCTAAACGCCCAGAGAGTTATTGAGGAAAATCAAGATTGACCGGGAGTCACAATTGTGGTGTTCGATAAAAAAAGCAAGAGTCCGACATCGTAATAGTAAGATATCGCAACCAAAAAAATCAAGATCCCCACTATATGATTCTACGCGACAATCGGGTATGCATACATTGGTTGACAACGTTGTAGCCAAATACACAAGACTGACTCGAACTATTACTCAACAGAAAATAAGAGCTTTGGTTTCAAGAAAGGAAATCATACGCTTGAGTAACTTACATGGTTGGACTACATCCCGGGACATAAAGGTAAAATTCCATAACCCAAATCCCCAAATGACAGGAATAATGGTCACCACACTATCTCATCACAAAATAAAAATTCTGCCATTTCAACACGGAAGAAAGTCTCTACCAAAACACTACAAGTGGAAAATGGGATACAAGAATACACCAACAAGAATCTTTTCGACCTTATTGATTTGGATTCATTAGGAATTCAATTTGAAAACATCACACATGACTATTTGGATGCAATGCAGCCAGAAGGATAAATAGTTGAAGATGAAAATTATGTCCAAGAATTAGACGAAGACATTACAACGGCGGAGGAACAACTTCAACTAGACCTTTTAATTGAGGATGATGGCACAACAACAGAATTCTATGATTGCGGCGATCCCGATCTAAAATGAATATCAGCCCGAACTCAACACTTGTGTAGAAGATGAGGAACCATGGGTGTGTTTGGCCGCAGACAACTAAAATACACAACCCCACACTCCGTCCTTCAATTCATTCATGTCAATATCATCAAATTCTTCCAGCCACTTAAAACTATTATAAGTTAAAATACATCTTGATAGCAGGCCGATAGATAGGGTGTTTGTGGACAACGACGCACTTCTAAATGTCATGTTGTCCTCAATATTATGAAAGATTTGTAAAACCATGGCCGATCTACTGAAATTAGATATTAAGATGATATTTTTTGCAGGTCAACATACATAGCCATTTGGACTGTTGATTGCAAATATTGATGTCGGGCCAAAGAAGATACCATCCGTCTTTTTGTCGTCGACACACCCACTACGTATTCGGTATTGTCTGGAAGGAATTGGATTCCCTATGTTTATTGTGTTTCATCTATCCTGCATCAATAATTAATATTTTAGGAATGAGACAAGACCAAAATGTTGGATGGGGATCCAACACCTTTTGACCACAACACTTAACCATTTGAGTTGATGTTGTATATGAACATAAATTTGAAATTCAAGGCACTAAGGTTCACATTGGCAGATGGATGCCTATTTAGGAGAAAAATCAATGATATTCTCTCAAAATGTGTGGATATGAACAATGCCAAGTTAATTATGGCAGAAGTCCATGAAGGTGTATGTGGAGCTCATAAGGCCGGTTCTAACATGAGATGGACTATTCATAGGTATGGCTACTTCTGGCCGACCATTTTGAAAGACTGCATTAAATATGCACGTGGATGCGAGAAATAAAAGATGTTGGGTAACTTCAAACATCTT